AATGTTTGTTTCTTAACTTAACTTAATGAGGGTTGCCACCTGTTAAAAAAATTAAATTCAATTTGAGTTAGGGGAATTAGGTAATAGAAATATGTATTTGTGCCAGACGGTAAAGGTTAAGTATGTAGTAGTTTGTAAACATCTTGAAGAGGGGTGCCTCCTGTTTGAAAAGTCTAATTTATATGAAGTATAAAAAATATGGACGTCAAGCGAATGAATTTTAAGAGATCTTTAGTTGGAACGTTTAGAATATTTTTAAAGTGTTTGAAGGGGGCTGCCACCTGTTTAAAAATTAAGTTCAAATTATTTAAATAGTTAAATCAATTTTTACTAATTGGGTACCAATCGCAGTAGTTTTGAAAATACTTTATTTCCTAACTGCATGTAGGAGGGTTGCCACCTGTTTAAACAATTAAATTCAATTTGAATTAAGGCAATGGGGTAATTAAAATAGGTATAACAATATGGGTGTCAGACTAAAGAAATTTAAGAAGATTTTAGATTGAACATATTTTTAATAGGGTTGCCACCTATTCGAAAAGTCTAATTTAATTAAATTATCGATATAAAACTAAAAAGTGTTACGAAATCTTAGTTTGCACATTGGGAATTTATTTTATGAGTTTGAGGAGGGTTGCCACCTGTGTAAAAAGTTATCAAACAAAAAAGTATTAGCAAATCTTAGTTTAAACAAAAGGAATATTTCTAAAGCATTTGAGGAGGGTTTCCACCCGTTTAAAAAGTTAAATTCAAATTATCTATATATATAAAACGCGAAGGGATTATTTGTGCAGCATAAAAGATCTGTACCGTTCGCCCAATTTTCAATAATGAGGTGTTAAATTAAAGCGCTTGGCCTGTAGATGTGCAATAACGTTTTTGTTTTTCGAAAAGAGTTGCCACCTGATAAAAAATTGCATTCAAATAATTTAATAATCAATGCCATCAGATCCACACCGTTCGTTCGATTTTCAAAAGTGAGGTGCCAAATCAAAAGGCTCTGGCTGTAGGTGTGCAATAAGGTTTAACTTTTTCGAAAAGAGTTGCCACCTTTTAAAAAATTAAGTTGAAGTTATTTTAAAAGCTTAACCAATTATTAAAAAATGGGCATAAATGGAAATAGTTTTGAAAATGTTTGTTTCTTAACTTAACTTAATGAGGGTTGCCACCTGTTAAA